GTCACTTTTTCCCAGCAATGGACCAATTGTTTTCTTCCAAAGCTGACAGATGTTCCCCCTTGGAAAATAATCATGTCCTGGAAGATACAATAAACAAAACACAACCAGGGGTTAATGCGATGCCCTTAACCCCCTCTCCCCCTCCAAGGGGACCCTTTGGCTTGTCAGGGAATTTTTCATGGAATTGGTTAACCAATCTATCCACATGTATATCCCAACTTTTCACCCAAGTAGCTTCTTTTTTAAAAACAACAACAACAATTTTATTGATTTTCAAAGACAATACACAAACAAACAAAACATAAAATATAAAAACATATTTTCTGAAAGCTGCTTGATCCCGGGTTACAACTCTTCGTACAGATACAAATTCAAATTCATATTCATTTTATATACCATTCCATATCTTATTACCATTTTCAAACTTCTCACCTCTTTTAACTTTCTTAGTTTTATTTTATTTATCTCATCTCAGTTCAAATCATAATATTTATTATTCTTTGTCTGTTCTGTTTCCAGCTATTCATTTATCTTTTCTCTTTAAACAAAACTTCTCCTGTACACTGACTGGAGTATGACACCTTTAACTCTTTCCCCTAAATTTATAATACTTAATATAATACATAACTTGCATTGGGATTCTGTTTAGTACATTCTAAAATTACACAATGTTTTTTATAGAAAAAAAATTATAAGTATATGATGTAATTAAAATAAGTATCAATGCCAATACAAATCTAATCATTAATATTAATATTCATTTATATCTTAAACACTTTACATGTTACTTTTCAATTAAATATCGTACTTTTATGGGAACACTTATACTTTCCATAGTTATTTCGCCCCCACATCACATATTTTAAATAATTATTTCATTAAAATGTTCCCACTTCTCCTACTTCAATTCTCTCATTTATTTCATTGCCTTCACTAAGTTACACTAAACATTTTATCCCATTTTTGATTACATGTTGTTTCAAATTTTCTAACATTATTTCTGAATACAAATTTAGGAATACAATCTTATGTACCTTTGCAGAATCCCTTTTTCAATTAAGTTTACCCATTGTCTCTAAAAGAATTTTGTTTCTTTACATCTTGCTCCCCACCATTGAGGCTTCTCATCCCTTCCTTTCTCCCTTGCTTATTCTTCTCCTTGCCCTATTTACCCCCTTCTCTTTCCACCTCCCTTTTCTTCTTCTGCTTTCCCCCTTTCTGTTGTTTTCTAACACAGTATCCACTTTTCACCTTATTTTTCTCTTTTTTTTTGTTTTTTCAAACCTTAAAGTCCCCTTTTTCTTTTCCTCTTTCTCCTTTCCTTCCCCAAATAGAGTCACTTGTTCATCAAAGATGGCTTCTTCTTTATCCCAGTCATCCTGTTGTGCAGTCAGCTTTTCATAAGCACAAAGTGCCATTTCTAAAAATTGAAAAAGAGTGCCAAGAGAATCTTTCCCTTCTTGTTCTTCTTTTTTGTATTTTTGGTACTCAATTTTCAATTGGGGAGAAAGGGGGATGGCAGAAACAGCTGCAGGAACAGCGTGGATCCGACGGCTACCTGCTCTTACTTGCCAGCTGACTGGTGCTGATCGTGCAAAGTGACTGCATGCCTTCATCTAGAAACAGCTGACTGGTGCTGACTGCAAAGCAGCCAGAACGGCTGACTGGTGCTGATTGCAAAGCGCCAAAAACTGGGAAGAAACTGGAGGACTGAAGGATGCCAGATGCTGGTTACGTGTCTGGGGCTGAGCCATGGCGTGGCCATGGTCATTTACAGTGCGGGAAGGCGGAGCCACGTTGCTGCGATACAGCTGCAATCTTGGGGCTCTGAGATTGCAGCTGATATCTTCGCCCCTGGTCGGTCCTATGGATCTAAATCGTCCCGTAGAGACGATGATTGTAAGGGGCGCGTTCTGCTGATCCCAGGGACATCGCAAAGTCCCTGGCTGATCCAGAAGAAGCCCTTTTACCATCGGCGGAGAGGCAGCCCCCTTGGCTGCTGAAGCTGTGGCAGCTCCGGAAGAGAGAGAACGTGCATCGGCTGGTGAGAATTTTTTTTTTCGGGAACTCAAGGACACTCTAAAATGAGAAGAATCCTGTAAGACTTAGGACAAAACAGATGGAACTGATTTAGCGGCGATTTCTTAGAGAGAATGTCAAATTGAGGCTTGGCTTTTTACTTTTACTTTTGTTTTCATTGAACTTCTATTGTGATCTAGTAACTGTAACTAGACTGGTTTCTCCTTTTATATTTATCTAATTTTTCTTTCTTTTTTCTCCCTTTTGAGAATGGAGGCTCCCTTTAGTAATTTTTTTTCCTTTTAAATATATATATATACATGTATATTTCCCTCTTTTTCTTAGGCTTTTTGGGGAAAGAAGGGGGAGTGGACTAAAGAAACTTTGTAACACTGCCAACTAGAGGCTTGAAAATACTTTATTGAAAGTTGAAAAAGCTGTGAAGGAATTCTTTCTCAAGGACACTGGAACTTGATTAGATAGAGGAAGAACACCGGAGAATGTTTTAACAGGTGTTCTTTGGAACTTCTATTATTGAGTACTTGAAGTTTGGCTTTGGAATTTGTGGAGAAGCCATAATAAGAGCCTTGGATAACTAAATAAGATGCAGTGTGCTCTTTTTCTTATCTTTCTTTAGTTGTTTCATCCCTCCTCCTCAACCCCATAGTATTTTGTAATATTTGTATATTCTATTTTCTTTTTTTTTTTTTGACTTTATTTTTAATTTTTAAACTTACTTTTTTTTTTAAAGGGAAAGCCTCAGAATAGCTTTTCTTTTTCCTTTTGTTTATTGGGATTTTTGCCTTTTCTATTTTTTATTTTTATTTTTTATTTATTTTTATGGTTATTTTTTTTATTTATTTTTTGAGATCCTACAATTGGACTAGGGTGTGAAGAACCTGAAGAATTCTTTCTTTTTCCTTTTTTTTTGATCATTGTTTTTTAATATTATTGGGTCTTACTCTCTTTTTCTTTTTTACTATTTTTAATTTTTATTTTTGAATCATAATTGGCCATCTTACAATAGGATTAAGGTCTAGAAGAACCTGAAGAATCTCCTTCTTTTTTTTCTTTTTAATCTTCTTTTTCTCCCTCTCTTTTTAATTCTGGACTCTTTATTTTTTATTGGCTTTTTTAAAAAATGTTTTTCTTCTTCCCAATTGGATTATAATTGGCTACCCTACTGATTGGATTAAAGGAGCTTAAAGATCTTGAGTTATTCAAATAAGTAAGAAAACTTTACCTTCTGGCAGTTCAACTTCTGCTCCTGCTTCTCCATCAACTGGAGGACGACTATCAATAATGGCAAAGCAAGATAAAGTACAAATGGATCTAGCAACGATTATACAAGGAATACAAGAACTCAAAATAAGCATTGACCAAAGAACAGAGAGTATTGAACAAAGAATTGCAAAGACTGATGAAAAAATTGAAAACTTTCAACAGATGATGGCAAAACAGGAGGAGAGACTTCAAAAAATCGAGGAGAAAGATAAACAAAGAGATGAGACAACTGGAAATATTGTTAGCAAATTAACAATGGTGCAACAAGATATAAATGGGATGTTGAAGTGGGAGATGGATAGGTCAGAATTTTATCTCAGATTTCAAAATATTGAGGAAGAAAAAGGACAGGATTTGGCGGCTGTAATGATAGAAATTCTGGCTGGAGCCTTGGAGATAACAGAGGAAAAGATGATGGACGGAGTAGATGAGATATATCGTGTTTTTACAAGATATGCAATGAGGAATAAGCTACCAAGGGAAATCCATGTCAGATTTACTAAGAAGACTATTAAAACACAAATATTACAAGTCGCAAGAGATAAGGGGCTGAAATATAAAGGTAAAGAGATTATGGTTTTAAAACAAGTCCCCAGAAGAGTGAGAGAGATGAGAAGAGAATATCGATTTTTGACCAAAAAATTATTGGAAAAAGACGTGAATTATAGATGGTTGATCCCAGAAGGATTAATGTTTATATGGCAAGAACAGAGACACAGAATCGACTCAATTGAGAAAGCAGAAATATTCCACAACAAATTTTTTGGAAGAAGAGAAATAGAGACAGAAAAAGAAACCTTTGCAATTGAGCCTCAAGAAGACCAGATGAGATCGGGGAAGGAAGAAGGTGCGGTAGGTGGACAAATGGAGACCAAAGAACAACGTGAAGTAAGATCCACAAGAACTGTTAGACCTAAATATAAAACATAACCATGGAGGAAAAAAAATTGATTTCTATGAATATAAATGGATTGAACTCAGCTATTAAAAGAAGAAAAATCTTTCATAAATTAGAGAAGTTAAAATTTGAGATAATTTGCCTACAAGAAGTACATATTAAAAAACAACATCAACGATTATTGGTAAGACCAAGACTGGGGAAAATTTTTACTTCCTTGACTAACTGTAAGAAAAGAGGAGTGGTCCTGTATATTAAAGAAACTATTGTAGCAAAATTGGTTTATACTGATGAAGATGGAAGAGTATTAATGGTTGAAATAGTGGATAACAATATAAAAATATTACTTGTTGCAATCTATGCTCCGAACGATAAACAAGAAGAATTTTATAAAAAGTTACATATGAAATTAATTGGACTGGACCATGTCAATATAATTATGATGGGAGATCTTAATGGAATTGTAGATAATAAATTGGACTATACAGCGACAGCATTAAAACAAAATAGAAAGACTCTCCCTAAATCCTTTTTTAAAATGGTAGATGAATTAAATTTAAAAGATATATGGAGAGAAAGAAATGGTAAAACGCAGCAATATACTTTTTATTCAAATAGACATTTATCATGGTCCAGAATAGATATGATTTGGACCTCATCAGAACTAATATCTAACATTCAAGAAATAAATATAGAAACGGGTATATGGGCAGACCATAACCCTATGACAATTAAATGGAAAGGACAAAGAAGAAGATCTAGATGGACATTAAATAACGCTATCTTAAAGGAAAAAGACTTTATACAATGGATGGACAAAGAATTGGCCTTCTTTTTCATTAAAAATAAAAAAGAAGATACTTCAATGCAGAATGTTTGGGATACAATGAAGGCATATGCGAGAGGATTAATAATGGACTATACAAAGAAAAAAAATATTAGGAAGAGGCAAACTATTAAAGCTTTAGAAGATGATTATAAAAAACTGGAAAAAGAATTGCAGAATATGCCACAGAAAAAAGATATTAAATTCAAAATGGATATAATTAAACATAAGATGGGTCAGGCGGAGAAAGAGGAGTTGGCACAAAAAATTAGAAGTGCTAAACCGAACTATTTTGAAGATGCAAATAAACCAGGTAGGTGGCTAGCATACAAATTGAGAAAGGAGAAAGAATCTAGGAGAATAGTACAGTTAATAGATGATAAAGGTCAAATTTGTTATGGTAACAAGGAGAAAAAGATAATTATTCAAGACTTTTATGGACAATTATATAAACAGGAGGATTTTGATGAGGAAAGAATTAAGCTTTATCTACAAAATGCTAACCTACCCAAGATACCTGAAGAGACTGAAAAAATGTTAGAAAGTACCATAACAATGATGGAACTAACGGAAGCACTTAATAGGCAGAATAATGGAAAAGCACCAGGCCCAGATGGGCTCCCGGCAGAATTTTATAAAACATTACAAGAATCGTTGAGCATTCCATTGTTAGAAGTTATGAATGAAGCTATGTTAAATAAGAAAATACCTAAAACATGGTCAGATGCTTATATCACACTTATTCCAAAAGAAGGGGCTGATCCATCACAAATTAAGAACTATAGACCTATTTCTTTACTGAATGCAGATTACAAAATCTTTGCTTCCATCTTGGCAGAAAGGCTCAAAAGATATCTAAATGACTTTATTCATCCTGACCAGAATGGATTCCTGCCAAGGAGACAAATTAGGGATAACATGAGGGTAATTCTGGACACTTTGGAATATTACGAGGCACACCCTGAAAAACAAATGGCTTTGGTATTTTTAGATGCCCAAAAAGCATTTGATAATGTGAATTGGAGATTCATGTTTTTGTTATTGGAACAGATGGGCTTTGCTAGAAAATTTATTCAAGCAAGAGAAGCCATATATGACAAACAAACGGTGAGAGTGATGATAGAGGGAGATTTTACAGATTCTATTAATATAAGAAAAGGCACAAGACAAGGTTGCCCATTATCACCTTTGTTATTTGTATTGATTTTGGAAGTGCTGAATAGAAACATTAGAGAGGATCCAAATATAAAAGGAATGAAAATTAAGAAGGAGGAATTTAAATTGCAAGCCTTTGCGGATGATTTGGTTTTTATTTTGGAAGATCCTCTAGGAACAGCTTTAAAGCTACTGGAAAAGATAGAGATTTATGGTGAGATGGCCGGTTTGAAAATAAACAAAGATAAAACAAAGATCTTGACAAAGAATATGTTATTAAAACAAAGAGATGAACTGGCAGATTTATTGAAAATTCAAGTTATGAACAAGGTCAAATATCTGGGGATATATTTGACGTCAAGATGTACTACATTGAAAGAGAATAACTATATCAAACTTAAACAACAGATAGCATCTGATTTGAAAAAATGGGAAAATCTACAATTGTCATTGATAGGTAGAATATCAACAATCAAGATGAATATTTTACCCAGAATTTTATATTTATTCCAAACCATACCAATCAGGCTTGGTAAAGATTACTTTGAAGAATTAAATAAAATTGTGTTGAAGTTCATATGGCAAGGTAAGAAAGCCAGAATAAAATTAAAACTCCTGCAAGATGCTAAAATTAGAGGAGGTTTTGGCCTCCCGAATTGGGAGTTGTATTACCAAGCTGCAAATTTAATGTGGGTTAAGGATTGGATAACATTAAGAAAGACTAGATTGTTGACTCTAGAGGGGCATGATTTATTACTGGGATGGCATGCTTTTCTGTGGTATAAGGGAACCAAATCGCAGGGCTATTTTAGAAGGCATTATATAAGGGAGTCTTTATGGTTGAATTGGGAGAAAATTAAGAGAAAATGTTATTTGAAAATCCCAGTCTGGTTATCAACTATTGAAGCTTTTTCTTATCCTATAATATATGAGAAGGAACAAACAGTTAGATATGGGGAAATATTGGATGAAAAGAGTGAACTTAAAACAATGCAAAAACTAGAAGAACAAGGCATAAAGATGAATTGGTTTTCATATGCGCAAATACATTCAAGGTATCTTATAGATTCTAAAGCGGAGGGATTTTATGATAAATTGACTGATCTAGACAGGATCTTGACAGGTACTGATGAAAAAATGATTAAAAAATTATACACTTATTTGTTGGAAATTTTATTAGAGGAGGAACAAGTTAAAGAAACGATGATTGTTTGGGGGAAGAATTTTGGATATGGGATTGATTTGGAGAATTGGGAAAAATTGTGGTCTCAAAATTATAAAATGACAATGTCAACAGCTTATAAAGAAAACTTGTATAAGATGTTTTACAGGTGGCATTTTCCCCCGACAAGAATTGCAAGAATGTTTAAGAACAAATCTGAAAAATGTTGGAAATGTCATCAGATACCTGGCTCATACTACCATATGTGGTGGACTTGTGAGGACGCTAGAAAATATTGGACTAAAATTCGCATATGGTTGGAAAAAATGACAAAGACACATATAGACTTGAAACCAGAGATTTTTTTATTGGGAATCTTACCTGATATATATAATAAAAATTTGAAGTATTTGATTGTAAATATATTAACAGCGGCTAGGATTGTATTTGCTAAGAACTGGAAGAGTGAGAAAATTCCATCAGAAGAAGAAATTATTAAGAAAATATTGGATTGTGCTGAAATGAGCAAATTGACATTTGAAATCAGAGAACAAGAAGATAAACAATTTTATGAAGTTTGGGATCTTTTTTATCAATGGTTAGATAATAAAACATAATGATAGAATATTCAGATTTAGCATAAAAAAATAATAATTTTTTTTTCTTAATATTATCTTTATAAAACATTATTAAGGTAGAATTGGTATGATCTTATGATTTATTGCAAAATAAATTAAGCAAACTATAGTTATCTCGTTAAAATATGAATTAACAAAATTATAAATGGGTTTTTTTGTTGTTTTTTTTAGTGATGATATTAGGTTATACTTATTGATTGATAATATGAGCTATTATGTAATATAATTATACTAGTGACTAGGAAATGGATGCACAAAAAAAAGTGGTAAACCAATCGATGCACTGTATGTAAATTTATGAAGAAGGATCTTTTTATGTTTTTTGTAGTATGTTTATGTTTATTTTGTTATGTATGTTTATGTTTATCTTGTTATTAAAAAATAAAAAAAAATTATTTGGAAAAAAAAAGAACACTAAATGGTTTTGGACCACTCAATTTCATCTGTTGTTTTCTAACATAGTATCCACTTTACACCTTATTTTTCTCTCTTTTTTTGTTTTTTCCTTCCCCAAATAGAGTCACTTGTTCATCAAAGATGGCTTCTTCTTTATCCCAGTCATCCTGTTGTGCAGTCAGCTTTTCATAAGCACAAAGTGCCATTTCTAAAAATTGAAAAAGAGTGCCAAGAGAATCTTTCCCTTCTTGTTCTTCTTTTTTGTATTTTTGGTACTCAATTTTCAATTCATCCACAAGTGATGCCATTGTAGAGAGAAAAAGTTTTTCCAAAACAACCACCCAAGTGCTTTTAATCAAGGATAGTTCCCAAAAGTTCCAAAATCACCAAACAATCCAAGTAAGCTGTTTCTTTTAGTACTTTCTCCTTTCTTCTCTCTCTCTTTCTGGGCTTACTGTTTAGTCACAAAGTTCCAGTTAAAATGTATCTTTTATAAGTCTTGTTAATATTTAATAGCTCTTTAAAATTCTAGGCAATCTCCTCCTTACTTTCAAATTCTGCTCCAATTTTTTTCCCTCTCCCTTCCCACTTACAGCAAAAAAAGGTTTTTTTAAAAAATGTTCAGAAATCCTTATCCCTTTAGCATTTAATTACCTCCAATGCAGGTTTTCCGATTTCTCTTGCGGTTCTATTCGCTGCCATGTTAGGAAGGAGAGTGAAAAGAAAGGAAAACTTTCCCTTTTAAACTTCCATTTGCCGCTTGTAAATCTCTGGAAATGATGTATCTTTGGCAAATTTCAAGTTCCAGGGTACTTTCGCTGTTACTTTATCCCAGTCAGCAAAAAACACTTTCACTTCTTCACAACTCCTCCTGCACTTTCTTTTTCAGGCTGAGTGCTTCTATGTGGCAGCCATTTCTGACCACCTCTCAGCTGCCTTCGGAAAAGGGGGTTTAGCCGGCTAGGGAAGAGAGGTGCAATATCTCTCGACCCTGCCAGGTCCCCCCTGTCTTCGCCCCCTTCTGTGGAGGTGGCTAGCCCTGAAGCCGGGTGGCTCAGGGCACTCGGGCAGCGAGCACAGGCAGAAACCGTGCACAGTCACGGATTCCTGCCTGCCCCAAAGCGCTGCAGACTGGAACTTCCCAAGTAGCTTCTGACAAAGCTTTCCATAGCATAGATATTGTAATCATCCTCAATGTAATCTAGAATTGAAGATCTTCTTTATTTCATAATGTGCCTCACCCTGTACAATCAGAGGTTTGGGGGGAGCTGCTGGTATCGGCCTTAAATTTGACCCTACAGCAGGCTACAACAAACTACTGTGGAACACTGGGTGTATTTTCCCTAACAGCCAAGGGAGACTTAATTGGACTATCATTGGATTGATTATCTTAGATATAGGGAATGGATCTAAGAATTTAGGGCCCAACTTTCTACTAGGAAGTTTTACCTTAAGACATTTAGTTGACAAAAGCACTTTGTCCCCTACTTTGGCAGGTTCAATGAAGCCTCTGTCTAAACTGGTATCAATGTATTTCCTCAACTCAGCCATCCTGGCTGGTGTCATGGAATACATCTTTGGTTTTGGCAGTTTTGCCCAGGTTCTAACTCAATGGCACAATTAATGCTCGATG